CGTGGAGAACCACTTTATGTCTCTTGCGGGCAGTGATCGAGCGTGCCTGCAAAAATAGTAATCTGCCTATATTGCAGAGTGTGTCTTCTGCACCGACAACGCTTCCTATCTGGCATACGTCTTTTGGTGGTAGAGCATGTGGGCGAATTCCCCGAGTATAAAGACCATGACAGATTGGTCAGCGCTTCTGCCCCGTTTAAGTGGCTTGGTCTGACGAACTACTTGCACAGGTACTGGAGACTGGCACGAATTCTCAATTATTTTATTAGAGGATATTATACGTTTTGAAGTGCGGCAAAAGTTGCGGCCTTCACGGCTGTGAAAGTAAGCCTTGCACAGACGTCGATTTCAAAACAATCACATCCCCATCGACCATTCCAGTCGTCTATAACGCTGTTGTCTTTGCAATTGGCTGCGCTTTATTTTAGACGCCGATGCCAATGACATGAATGTGTTTGAGTTTAGCCAGCTGTATTCTGCAGAATTAAACAGTCAAACCCATTCATTACAAGGAGATACTTGAAATTAAGCATGCCTTCGTCATGCTCAGGGTGGACGTAAATTGGTTTACGCCGTATTAGATCAATACAGATCGTGTGTTGCTGCGCACAGTAACGTAATTACTACATCACTTACAGTGAAAAACAACAATATACTCCTTTTTTGCCGAACATACCTTTGAGGTAAGGCATAAGTTGAGTTTCCTTGATGTCGCGGTGAATGAGCTTTTGAGTTGCCCCAATTATAGATTATCGCACATTACAAGGGTGACGTTGCCGAATCGTGCGATGAGATTGTGACGCAACATATGTCGTGCTTCTTAATGCTTTGAAAAGCAAGGAATTTGATGGCTCAGGTGTCGCTTCATTCAAGCGCGCGTTTGCACTCCTGCATCGGCCCTCCTTGTCCCAAGGTATCAGACAATAATCCGCATGGCACTCAGAGTTTGGTGGTGGTTTAGGATGAGAACCTCAAGTATAATACACTGTGCGAAGAACATGATACCTCTTTGGGTGACTATCACGGAAGGAAAACATACAGCTCGGTGTGCAATATGTATTGGTAGCCCAACATGTAGAAGTGGGTACGTACATATGTGTGTACATGTGGAAAATACTTACAGGTTAAATCTTAGCCGGATGCGGCAGCACAATCGACCATTCTACCAGTGTCAACAAAGTGTTAGCAGTCTATACGTACGAACTTCGTTTCGAGCCTTCAAAGGAAGCCTATGGGAATACCGGTAACTTTGCAGACCGTCTGATCAAGACATATCATTTCGCTGTTGTCACTAATACTGTGAGAACTTTTGTAAGCTTTTGGTCGCGAAGCACGTGCATTTCGCGGGGACGCGTTGAGCTATTCGCTTTGATGGACCGAGGTTTCATCTAGGGCGCATATGCTCCTGAGAGTAGCTTTGGTATTGTGGGGGGGTAGGAAGTAGGAGCGGGTACCTTTGCGTATAGTCTTAGGTAGGCTAAGAAAGTGTGATCCAAACCTTATTGGGAGGATGTAACGAGGAATCTTGTGTACTTGACATTTAAACACTTGGTATTGTTGTATTAAATACAACATGATACGAATTTTGCATTATACGTGACGTAATTGTGAATATAAAAAATGTGATTATCGTAATCCATAAAAATTGTTGAACTCTGCAAAATGAGAGGTCAATGGTACACCTGAGCTATTAGCCGCGCGTCAAAACATAGAGATAGCATTATGGTTTTATATTAAAACGTATATATATTAAGTCTCAAGTAAAACCAGCATAAATCAATAACTCTCGAGATAGCAAAGCGAACTAGCGAGGTTAATTATCAGCGAAGATCTCGGCTCCGCTATTGGTGGGAGCTCGCGTCCAACCTCTATGTAATTTATAACGTAGACGCTGAAGATCAAGACCTCCTCGATGCAAAGTGCACGGCACCCCTTCGTAGCCTATTTGAGTTCGAGAACATTAACATCGAAGCAACTTTAAGATATAGTGGACTGTAATATACAGAACAAATGCTATATCTTGCATTCGTTTCATTTATTGATGGGTGTTCCTTTAAATTTTCACTCAGAATAAATTCAAAGTTTATCTAACGTTAAATTACTATAAATAAATTCGTACGTCGAATTATGCATTAAATTGCACATTTATGATAGTTGCCTAATTTTTTGAATAATAAAAACAATGATTTCTCGCTTATTACTTCAGTAATAACTGCTTCCAATTTTGCCTTCACGAGCATACACCATTCTTCAAAGAACCGTTTATTTCGAAGCTAAATTTACTCGTTGACAGTAAATCGTAACAGTGAATTACCACACTGGGCGACTCGGCACACCGATAGTAAATTTTGTAGAGGAAATCTCATTAACCGAAGTGAATATATTATATAAGGTTTTTAGCTCCATACTCTGAGCTTCCTCTGTGTAACCTGACTTATCTTGACCAATAAACGACTACCATTATATTCGTAAGCAACATGTATAAGCATTACAGTAATCGTGACCATTGACGCAATCTTTGTAACGCTCATTGGTGATTTCATAACACTCACACTAACCGCGAATGTTAAGTGTGGTTTTTCGCAAACTGGTTCTTGATACCCGTTTTCTCGCGTAGAAACTAGGGTATCTTGAGTCCGAGTGCCTTCTTTAGCATATGTGCAAGCTGATTCATTGTATCGACATAGTCGATCTTCAGTAATTCATGCTGAACGTACACTTGAATACAGAGGTACGTGATGTCCAGATACTATGTACGAGCGTGCTAGCCTGCGTTGATTGCCAATACTATAGTCGAACCCATATCTGCGTGCCTCTTACTTGTTCATAGCTCACATCCGTAAGCATTATGCGCGTCTGAAGAACCGCTTGCGTACATAAGCTAAGAGAATGTACTCTGCTTCGGCGGAGCCCAGTGCGGGTTGTCTGGTACTTGGACTTAAACACAACCGGAGCATTTCCTTCATGTGTTGATCAAAGCAGCCAATACAGAGTAACTCTCATCAGTAGTGCCCCCATCAGCCACTCTTCCGGTTTTACCTTGTTCGATAATCCCGTGATGATGAGTCGACTTCAAAAAGCGTAGTACGCAAATTGCGGCGTTCCCCTTTTGTAACCCGGGATAAAATAAGACAGCCTCTTCTCTTCTCTTCTCTTCTCTTCTCTTCTCTTCTCTTCTCTTCTCTTCTCTTCT